GATCAATGCTGCTGAGTTCACACACGTTATCACAGCCTTGTCTTATCTGGCCCCATGCCTCTCAACCCGTGTCATCTCTGTTCAAATCCATTGATGGCTTTCTTTGAAGTGGTAACCTTTAGACTTCAGTTGGTGGGTAAACTGTGACTTTTGGGGGTTCCCCGCCAGTTCAGAACAAAATTCTAAAGGGAATTGAGCTACAAACTTTAGACCTAAGGCATCCAAACAATGGTGTCTGAGCGAATAGTCAAACATTCTCTGCAAGTCACAAGTCTCGCGTGTCTCCACCTGTGGACAAGTCGAAAACAGGAGGATCCAGTGAATTGAAGAGATCTTCTAGAAAACTGCCAACCTGCAGTTTGCACTTATCTTTTTATCTTGTTTTTTTTTTTCTCTCTCTCTCTCTCTCAGGAAAGCAGAAGGTGTTTCTTGGTAACTGGGCCTGCACAAACAGAGGTCTGATCTGACTTGTTTCAAAACTCAAAAACAGGTACATGGTATGTAATGCAGTGCACCACACATTGCAGAAAAAGCGATGCGGACAAAGATATGCTGTGGGGTTTTTGCAAACATTCATCATGCAACAAAACAACAAAGAGTGCCAAAAACATAAAGAGCTGTTTGCCTTTACACAGCCACCATGTATTATCTTGCCCTACAGTCTGCTTTGTCTTACAGTTGTATACGAACATAGACTTATAGGCATATATCGCTGTTTCAGGCTAAGAGGGTTCAGTAATAACTTTTTATTATTGGTGAAACCATACAACTAATAGGCTACAGTTCAATGTCCAAATGTGACCCCTTTACTTTGAAATACAGAAGCCCAACACTTTACCTGCAAAACAAGTACTTTAATGCATTAAAATTTCCTTAAACTGTACATCTCCTTAATATATGACCCATCAAAAACTTGGCAAAAAAACCCAATGACACCTCTTTTTTTTCTAAAAACAAATTGAATTTTAGTTTTGCGACAAGTTATGTAATCTTCCCACTGCTTGCACGGTGATGCTCACATTATGAAGCGGTTAGATGCTACTTTTATCAAGTGCGTTTCCAGCCTGGTTAAGTAGGAAGAAATGTGAAGGACAAAGGATGGATAATACACAAATCAAAGAGGAGAGGAGGGGACACTTTAGAAGACACACTGCCTCCTGTTTTCACAGTCGAGCTAATTGCACCTCGTGTCGCTAGAAGAGCACTGATTTAGCACTCGGAGCAAATTAAAATGAATAAACACAATTAGCTGTGAGTGCAACAGCGCCTCTGCATAACGTGCCGCATTTCTCTCTTTCTCTCTACCGCAACAGTCACTTTAGAGCAGCTGTTATTAACTGTGTTGTTGCGTCAAGTGCAATGTGAATAATTTCAAAGCACTCGATGCCACCAAAACTCTGCTAATTTGGATTTGAATAAAATAAACAGGGCACAGGCTAGTAAGAAAGTGGTCCTAAAAGCCTAAAAAAAATAGACAAATTAAGTGTGTGATATCGTTGTGTCCTCTTGAGTAAAATAAATGCGTTGATTGATGCTTTGGTTTTGTCATAACTGCTAAATATTTTACAACCTTGCAAATGAAGTAAAGTAAATAAAGTCCAACCAACCAACTTTAATTCAAGGTGATTAAATGTGAGGAATTAGAGCCATTTTTTGCACACTGTCTGTGTTTTAATAGGTTCTTGAACATGTGTGGACAGTTTCCTTGTTTCATCATGACAAATGGTGTGGGATAGTTCTAACTGTGTTTAGAAGCTGTTCAATGAAACTAAATACGGTGGTAATGCACAAAGTCCAAAGAGGTGTTGACAAAAGTAAGTCTATCAAAGTGAGAGCCTAACAAAGCTCTCCCTCTCTGATAAGTCTGCTTTATTTTACAGCCTAAAACAGAGACAAATGAATAACAAGCAAAGTATTTTTTTCAGGTTCTGCTGTTTGATTTTTATTTAAAAAATAAAAATAAAGCCTTAGCAAGACCATAAGATGAAAGAAGCCTCTTACGGAGGTAGGCATATCAAAAGGTATATCATAAGGTCAAAGTTCTTAGAGAACCTAAAATAAACTTATCTGAAAGTTAAGAAGAGAAGGGAAGGAAGGATTCATAATCTAAACATGTCCAACATCATTTGTCAAACATGGTGGAGGGAGTATTAAGGCATGAGCTTGTGTGGCTGCCAGTGGAACTGGGTCACAGTTTTTATTACCTCTACCATAGGGGTTATGTTTTTGTACCAGCTTGACTATTTGTCTGTGAGAAGGATTATGCAAATGCTGCTAGGCCGATTTTCATTAAACTGACTAGAGAGGTGGCACATGGGCAAAGAAACAGCTTAATGCATTTTGGTGTATATCCTGGAAATTTAGTCACATCAGCACCAGCTTGAGAGGTTGTGTAGCAGACAGCTGCATAACAGACGATCTTTAGGGGGCGTCCCAGTAGCTAACAAATGTTACCATGCCTCCTTAGTCAACCAATGGACGACTTACATTGGTTTCTCAGTAGAAATACTTCATTAATGAGCCCCACTTATGGTAGTGTGCGAGTAACATCGGTTGCTTCAGAATGTAAGCGTGTTGCAGGGTTGTAATGAGCATAATTGTGGGCTGATGTATAATGCTACTCAATGTGTCTGCGCAATATTTTTAAATAAATGATGATGTTTAATTTGAGTACTGGCCTTGGCTGAGGTTAGTGATCTCTGGCCTCCACCTGATGTACCTGCTTTTCATATACTTTCATATACCCCGATGCATCGGGGGTGACAAACTTCAAGCACTCATTGACTGCACCCCAGGATCAAAAATAAACATTGTATTTGCAAGTAACAGATAGACTCTTTTTTTTAAAAGAAGAAAAAAAAAACCTTGAAAAGATGTTGATGGTTGTGAGTTTCAATTTCAGCACCACATTTGGAAAGTCAAACAATAAAAGTGTCTTAAGGCATCAAGAGTGTTGCTTGTGCTATGGAAATTGATTACCACAGTGTTTAAGCTGGTCGTGTGTCAAAAATGTAAAAAATATTAAAGAAAGACGATTAAAAAGTTCAATTACCTCAAGTAAAATACACGGCTGAATAACTCATCACATGCAACGCCTGTAGCTATCTTGGATCTCTCTCTCTTCTCCACTTTGATGCTTTCAAAAATGGAGAGAATACACCCTACTGTTGAGGTAGGGGAAATAAAGAAAAACAGCTCAGAAAGTAATAAATTGCAAAGGAAATGAATTTCAAAACCCTGAGGAGGACACTTCTGCAAGACCTCCATACTTGGGGGAGGGAAAAAAAAAGCATCATATCCGGGGCACAATTCAATTAGCTTTTCTTCCAAGTGTAGGGAAAGGAGCTCCGGGGAGAAATCAAAAGTTTGGTCCAATAAAAGAAGTTTTTCAAGGATATAATGTTCTCGTGGCCCCTTCCTTCTCCCGCTATGCGTTCTTAGGAGAGTGCCACTCAAGCAGGCACTGACTTGTGATTTCTATATACAAAAAATAAATAAATCGGCTAAATTAAATAAAACAGCACATTGCAGATGCTGCTGTGACAGACACACTGGTCACGCTTAGTGGGATATGCCTGCCAGCTTAATCCTTGGCATTTTCATTGCCTGTTGTCTTTCTTGCCCAGTTATTTGACAGTGATCAGGGGTGATAAATTGTTCAATTAAAGCCACATTAAGAATCCAGAACACACTTGACATGCAGCGTCTTGGTTTACGTGTTGTCCAATTACTCTAAAGGACAAGACTCCTTCTTGCTACTGACAATAGACATGTGACTCTCATCATAAGACAAATGGGTTTATTTATTTGAGTTAGCAGGCTGATTGAATGCTGGAATGCAGGACTGATGAGTTTGATTTACAAAAAAGGGGGGTTTTATCATGTGTTTTCTTTCTTTCTTTCTTTTTTTTTTTGCTTGACTAAACAGAGCTTATTAATTATGCATCAGATTGGAAAATTGTCTTAAGTGAAGCGAGAAGTGAAATGGGATAAAACATTCTGTAAGTAGCAATAACAGGTCCACATGACTGAATTTGTTCCCTCAGAGCAAAGGCGCATCTCACCTCTGAACTTTGAAAACTTCCCACATAGTTCACTGCCTCAATAACCACTAACATCAAGAATCAAAACCTCTCTATTTGAGCTCATATTTTCCACACAATCCATTTAAAAAAGCAGCAGAGGTACTAATGTTTTTTTGCTTTTCATTTGCTGTTAGAGTGGGAGCACTGGGGGTGAGGAGGGTGACATTGTTCTCTGGTGAAGGTCGTTGCCTTGGAAAGGGTTTAGCCTCAAATGTTATAAAAATTAAGATGACCTGGGAATCATCTTGAACAAATAATATTAATGGTGATGATTAGGAGGATGATAAGAGGAACAAGAACAACATCAAAGGTCTTGCCTGGAAATGTATCCAAACCATGATTCCACTATCCATACGTTTTCACACTGCCATAGTGTTGGAGGGGTATTAAAAGGCACCTGGTACTTTTTAATGTAAATCCTACAGTAACCATTTAACACACTCTAACCTTTCAATAGGAAAGTTACTTAAACATTTAAGTACTATCAAAATACTTATATATTCCGTTACTTTGACTATACTGCCAAGCATTACACTTACTGATTAACGGTTACCCTCTACAGGCGAGCGAGTAACAGAAGCATTTTTAATCTTCAGATGCTACAGAAGCAGAGCCCCATCGTTAGAAAGCTCACTAAAAAACAAAGATGTTAAAGTTTTGTTTTTCAGTTTGAACGTTAAAACAAAATTATTCACGGAAGATTTATTTATAAAAGCATGTTGAAAGAGAAAAAACGGACTAAAATTAGCATCTCTTCTTGGTTACTCCAGCGAGCTGAGATACAAAATCACAGCAAAGCTGAAAATATATAAACGTACAGATATAGACGGAGCCCACTCTTAGGTCTCGCACCTTTCACCTGAACTGATTTCAAGCATTAAGAAGAATTAAGAAGGAGAAAAAAGTTGCACTCACTTCAGCGGCGTGAGAAAAGTACTTTTGAGACTATCCCCCCCACCCCTGGGGACAGGTTTTAAATCCGTATGCTTGGGGTAAGCGGTCAGTTCCCTCAGAGCAAATAAAAACAGTTACGTTGAATCTCCTGCGGCAGAAAAAAAACACTATATTCCACTTTCTCCAGCGGCAGTCACTTGTTAGCGAAGAGAGCATGTATGAAATACTCCTTTTATTCTCCGTACATTTGTATTCCTTCCCCCCAAGATCAGACGCTCCAAACCAGAATCTCCTCAGTGAAAGAAAAATAAAATGCCCTATAATAATCCGTGCGCGACACCGCCGCGCGCGGATCTCCAAACGTGTATCTCTTTATTGGTGTGTGTCTCGTTATCTCCGAGTTGCAGGTTTGGATTCTTTTCTTCCTAAAGCCACTCCGTACGGGCTGGGGGTGGGGAGACAGGAGTCAAACAGCCCCCCACATTCTCCCTCCCCTATGAAGCGGAGGGGGAAAAAAACGTAGGGAGTCCTGTGCTGCGTTCAAGCCGCCTCATAAACTTCGTCTCTTGACTTCTCCTACATCGTAAATCGCACCATGTGGTGCGTTCATGCACGTTAGTAGGAAATCATAACACAAAGTGGCCTGTAACGAAAAGAGTTACTGCTGCTGATCTTTGGGTTTACAAATCTGGGCTGCAGTGGCAGGACTAAGAAGAGGCAAACACATGCATTTACATGGAACGCTTTTAACAACATGAAGAGCACATGTTATTGTAAAACCGTTCTTAGTCTAACTGTAGATCAAATTAACCTTTTCTCCATATGTGTGGATGTTCAGTGTAGATCAGCCCACATAACCTGCAAAAACGATCAGCGTAGTTATTTTAAACCGTATTAGAGTGACCAGTGAAAAAGTCGAAATAAGTGTTGCCATTGTGATAAAGTGTGACACACACACCGTAGAAACAAGGTGTCACCCAATCACATTGGCTTTTAGTTGAAAAGGCAATCCTGATTGGCTTGTAGGATTTGAATTTGAACAGTGCCAGCTGGTGTCCACTATATCCAGCAGGGAGCCTAGACACACACTGGAGGCACATCAATCAGCTGACCCCATACTCACCTACCTTTGCAAACTGAAAATTGTTGCTCCGTCCTTGCTTTATCCCAGCAAAGTGCAGCTAATTATGGCAAAGCACCTTCCTGTAGATTTAAGTACTAAAGGAAAGGCTGGAAATTTGAAGAACATGAGACTGAATTTAAAAGTGGTTTTTTTGGGAAGTGTTACAATATGTGAAGCACGCTGCATCAAATAAGAGTCCTCTTCTTCCCAAAAAAAAAGAGAGGAATAATATTTTTTTCCTGGGTGAACTTTTCAAGGTATTCAGGCAGTAATAAATGGGAACAAGCCCTTTTGAGAAGACACATCTTTGCTGTGTACTGGCAGAAAGCCACCCTGAGCCACAAGCAATCCTCCACTGCCCCCTTTCTGTTCTTTGTTTAAAACCCAGTGTGACATGTAGCACACCATAAAGAGGTGTAAAAGTCTGTGTGTGTGTTTGTGTAAGGATGGGGTCTAATCAATTTACTGTTGAGTATAAAACATGTGTTTATGTTACGAAGATTTCTCCCTCAGCCTCTTATTCACACCAGAGCCCTTTATTTAATCAAGGCGGTAAATCTTAACAGCGACCCAGAGCTCTCACCACCATTCCCCTGGTGGCGTGAGCCTTAACATGGTAAATTTCACTCGGGTAGGGAAATGCGCTCAGTGGCCGAGGCTAGTGCTTTGGAAGGATAAAAAGAGCACTTACTGCCTGACATGTGCAATCCATAACAGAATAATGAGACTCCTCCACTCCCGGAGTCCTCTTCCCCAGCTATCCCACTCCCGCTTTTTCTGTTTTCCTTGTGAGTGTTCATAAATGCCATGTAAATTCAAAGAGCGGAAGATGTGGCAAGTGCTCGGGGGAGAGCGTTTAATCGTTTGCGTCTTGTTTCCGAATCAAATAGCAGCATGTACTGTTTGAAGATCCTCGAAACAAGCGGTGAACCTTGTTGAAACTGCTGCCCTCCTTCTGTCAGCTGCTGTGCATCCAAGTGAAGGAAGGTGATCCTCATCACAATTGCTGCTTAGCAATGTTGTCAAACAGATAATGCTTGCATGCAAAAAAAAAAAAAAAAAAAGGCAGAAGAATGGTTATTCCTGAATTTATATTCATAATAAAGATTGTGTGTCTTTATTGTGAACTGGTTGGTACATTAACCTCCTAAGATCCGAACTCTTCCACAGCATGCATTTTTAATTTCTCTTTGATATTTGGGCATATTGGGGCCCGATGAATGTAAAAACAAAGAATTACCAGATTTTTTGCCAGGTCCTAGGAGGGTAATAAGGTTAAGGTTTGGCTAAGATGGCATTTGTTGTGCAGAAACATGAACTTTCACTTCTTAGATGTGAAGCTGGATTGGAGCTTGAAGGTAGACCCTTCTTAACCAAAAAAGCACAATGAGGCTAAATGGTTCCTGGAGTGTTTTTGAACATCCTAAACAATTTCCCCTCATCTAAGGATGACAGTCTTCTTCTAGACGTTCTGAATTACGCATACCTGCAGTATGTACACTATGACTATGCTTAAAAGCTGCCAAACCAAACCAACTAATTTAAATGTGCTCTACCAACACTGCCAAGAGGAGTGGTCAAATATGCAAGGATGCCAAGAGTTTGTTGGTGTGATACCAATAGGGCCTAATCAAGGTGTGCCTTGCTAAGAGGCATTTAACCAAGTACTGGGGGGGGAATCCTAATTAATTTTAAACATGTGCATCCAATTTGTGTTTTTAAGGTCATTAAATCATGTACAATCTTTTAATTATTGGAAAAAGAAGTCCAAAGAAATCATTAAAAGTCTGAAGTTCCTATGGCATTTATATCCATGATGAGTGTATGCAACTTTCTGACCACAGCTGTATTTATATGCCTATATTGTCTCCCTGTCTTATTCATGTGTTTACCTAAAGTTTTGCCAGGGGGCCAGGTAGGGCATTAACAGGGAAAGAGAGGCACAAAGAAATACTTCTCTTTCTTATTCTCATTTAAAATGTCTAGCTTTTAATAAATAATTATCTGAATCTTACAACCAAAGTTTTTATATGATGTAAAATGTATAGAAACCACACATATACCAACAAGACAGTGTACATCACTGTCACAGCAGTGTTTGTTATCATTGTTGTGAGGAGACCATAAATAGCATTTGCATTTTCTGTTGTACAGTTCATTTGCTGTTTTGTTTCAAAATAGCTGATAACTATTCGCTGACAGCTGCTGACAGCTGCTGACAGCTGCTGACAGCTGCTAACATCTGCGAACAAATATAATTCTGTAAAGTTGTTTTATATAGTGTGTAACTGTTCATATAGAGCATTATTAAATTTATTGCTAATGCAATCATATGGCACATTGACTTCTGAGGAAATTTTAGACGGCGTTCATCATCAAAAAGGTTGCCGACCCTTGGAGTAGGCACTATGTGCCCAGAATAAACAGAGTCAACTAAAGAACAGGGCTTTTCAGCCTTGGGTTTTGACGTTAGAATCTCATTGCAGGTTGGTTAGTCCATTTCCGAAGTTTAACTAGTCAGACGTACCAAAAATGGGTACAATAAACATTAAAAGTGATGATTTTCATTTTTAAAAGTGATGAATCTATTTAAGTATTTGAAATATTTAATTTGTTTGTATTATGGCTTATCTGGCATATTATTTTTAATATATTTAAAATACCATGGACAGAGGATCATGGAGCAGGAACCAACATAGCTCCAATTACAGTCGACCTATTGAACATTCAAGTGTGAATGGAATATATCAGAGTACATAAAAACTTCGTCACTTATACTAGGTGTAATCAAAATCTTCTTTGAATGCCGCCCTTGATCTTCTCTTTTGTATCAAAATGGCAGCACTTCAATCTGAACATAATTTCGAGGGAGAAGTACGAGTCTTGGGAATCAATCTGGCAATTAAGGTATGTTGGGTGATTCTGTGGCCAAACCTCAGGTTCTTTGTGCCAAATATTCTTCTCAAAATGCCAAAGGACATTACAATGTAGCTTTAAACTGGGGGAGGCACATTTGTGTTTGTACTCAAGAACTGCAGTACGATTTTCATCCTTGGACACTGTGGACTAAAGTGCACTAAAAACTGCACATTGGTCTCTGGATCGCAGCTGTTCACCCAGCTCCCATTAACAGTAATGCTAAATAAAGTTGATTCTCTTTTTAGTTCCATGTTGAAATTGAAAGTGTGTATATACACATTTAATCAGAAGGTCCAGGGAGTAAAAACACAGAAGCTATAATGGGACACTTTGAGACAGGGCTGGACTGGGACAAAAAATCGGCCCGGGCATTTTGACTAGAGACCGGCCCACCAGGATAAAGATTGAAAATGTGACGTCATTCAGGGG